CCAAAGTATCTTTCAACTAGTGATATTTACCACTATGCCATGTAGTTTCATACTAACAATTCCTTTTTTATTATAACTAATCCACTTACTTTCTCTTAACAATTTCATATATATATATATATATATATATATATATATATATATATATATATATATATATATATATATATATATATATATATATATATATTCTCATAAGTGTAAAAATAGAGATGTTACATTTTGTGATGCAAAAATTGGCACCAATGGGTGTAACTGTCCAACCGAATACAAATGAAGATGATGAATAGTCTGCAAAAGTTGTTTTATCGATTCATAAATAATTTTGAAAATGTGGTTTCTATATTATATTTAATTTACATATTTTACTAATTAATAATTATGCTTGTGTTCATTCAATGATCATTGAAAATTTATTATTATATGTCCTAAGTAAAATATGGTAATTATATTATGTTCCTTTTAATAATATTTTCTTTAAGTTTGTATTTAGCTTTGCGTGTAATGTTTAAATTGTTTTTAATATATAGAGCTAGGGAGGGAACCAATATGTTTAAAAGAGTTTGAAAAAAGCCCAAATTTTGCACGCCTTTGGAAATAATGGATCATGTAACACCCCGATTTTTATTTATTATTTTATTATTTAATTGCCATATTAATTATTATTTAGTTTGATAATTATTTAATTATTTGATTTTGTGTGATTTTGTGTGATTATGTGAATAATTGATTTAATTGCAATATGTGTGTATTATATGTTATTGGGTTATTGAGTGTGATAATAACAAAATAAACAGTTGGGCCTTATGTTACATTAGAATGGGTGAGTGAAGTTAAGCCCATTTAGAGTTAGTAAGAGTTGAACAAAATAAGGAAAATATAGAATTAGAAAGAGAAAGTGAATAAAACAAGAGAAGAGAAGAAAGAAGAAAAAGGAGAAAAGGGAGAAAAGGAGAAGAGAAGAGGATAGAACCCTAGAGTATCTACATTCAAGGTAATGATGGGTATTCATTGATTTATGGGTGTATGTAATAGTATGTGATGGGTAGTAACATGAATTAGAGATTTGTTCTTCAATTTCTAGATTTTGACAAGTTAGGTTTTGAATGAAGAATCATGAACTTGATGTTGGAAATCATGTTTTGATGTTTATATTTGATACTATATATTAGATATATTTTATAATACATTTAACTGGTGAAATATATGTGTTTGAATGAGATTTGGATGGATAAATTCGTGGAAGGCAGAAGTTGTCAAAAGCAGATTTTTTTTTGTATTTCGTAGAGGTTGCTTAGCGCGCGTGGGGCCGCTTAGCGCGATTTTGAATGCAAAACTTATTATTTTCTGAAACTGTTATGGATCATGGATGTATATGATTTATCATGAGTTGTAATAAATTTTGTGGAGTTAAATTATGTGTTTTAGATTGGTTTTTATGCACTTTTTGATGGAAATATGATACTTGATTTTGTGTATGTAATTGTTGTGAATTGATGTTGATTGAAGATAACATGTTTTGGACTTGTTTGCTACATGTTATAATGATTTGTTGAGATGATTAATACTATGATAATGCATTACGTGTGATTGATGACATGAAATATGTATGTTGTCCAATTTGGTGAAGATAATTCAAATGTGTTGAATTATGTGAAATATGCTTGTATGATTAAGATACGGAGATGGTCTTAATTGCATATTTATGTTGAGATTGCACATGCATCATTTGTGTCAAGAGGCAATGTTTGGTAATTCCGTGGGAATTATTGACTTGTCCCAAACCTGAAGATGGGGGTTTAAAAGCTTAGAGAAAAAGTTTTTTTTGTGGTTATCTGTCTTGGAAATATGGACCTGACGGGACCGGTAAGGATAATAGTCGGTACCATATGCATATTGAATTGAGTTTCATTGGAGTCACATGTGTTTATGTGAATGTTGAATTGGTGTGCATTATGTAATATTGGTGTGAATGTTACATTTGTGGTATTTGTGATTGATTATCTTTGAATCTTAAATTATTGAGCAATGTTGTATATGAAATTATGTGAATTGTATTGAAGTATGTTGAACACATGATTATGTGAAGTGTGATGAATTCAATGTGTCATACCCTAATTTTTGACCTAAGATCCCATCTTTATTTGCATTTTTATTCAAAAAAGTCAAGGTCACAAAATACGGTCGGTTTTAACCTCTCACCTTCGAGCTTTGACTATGCAGAGATTGTCAAGTGTTTTGAACATTTTTAGTCTATGTATCACTAACTTCTAATCACATACAAAGGTGTATGTTCGTGTTTTCTTTTGTTTCATATGCAGAAACAGGTCTGAATCAAGAGCATCAGGCGTCGCACCTCAATTAGGGTTTTGAGTCTCCCAAGCCATAAGTACGATTGATTGTGGATTCTCGAAGATTGATTTATCAAGGCGCAACCTTTAATCTTAGAGCATAGAGTCTCAAGCATCGTTCAATCTCATTTTGATCAAAGATGTCTTTTGGAACTTCAGAGGATCGTGTGTTTATTTCCACACCTTGTTTGACAAGTAGTCTCAAGCTTCCCGACAACTTCCTTAAAGCACAGACAAGATTTCATCACCACTGGTTCACATGTGCATTAATGCATCTTAGAATGCAAGAAAAGATCAGGCTATGTGAGATAATTTAAAGCACTTTGACCAAAAGTCAACTCTTGCAAGTTCAAGTTCAAATGGTCATAACTTCTTCAATTTTTCAACGTCCCGAGGCGATTCTTTTTGAGAAGTATCACAAATAGTGTTGTCTATGATATTACTTCGAAGATCGAGGTTCAATTCATGCCACAGACGTTTTCTCAAGGGACGATTGATTCTTATGATGGGATAATTCATGAAACTAGAGTTCTAGTTCAATGATTCATTGATTGCTTGTTGCCTACTTCAAGTCATTTGCAATTGAACATTAGCAATTGTTGGATTAAGGTAGATTGTTGATTAAATCTATTAAAGGCACGATTTGTATTATTGGCTTGTATTGCAAGCTACCACGAATTGACCATATGGGTTTTAAAGAAGAAGATTGGAGGATCAATTTGAATAATTCCTTTTTTATTTCAAAATTAATTCAAGTGTGTGAGGCGCAATTCATTCCTATGAATTTGCTTTTGGATTTAAGATATACAAAAGAACTAATTTCTCATGATGCAAGTTTGATCAATTTTGAAGATCAATTCATGTAATTTGTTTGGAATTCTAGGAGCAAATACAAGATGTCCATCCATCATTCAAAATTCATTTAAAACATTCGTCATTCCAAGTCCATTTTTTTCAAGATCGTGAGGTCAAATGATTCAAGACTTTTTCTTCCATGTCATAAGAATCAATGCAAGACTCTTCAAGTTCTAAAAATCCATATTCATTCAAATGGCACAAATTTTTGCAAGTTCCATACATCATCATTTCAATTCATGACTTCATCCAAAGAATACATATTGTTTACATTATTGCCTTTAGAGTTACATCAATACCATGAATTTTCCCTTTTACACTTAAAAGGAATTACAAGAAAAAGTTACATATTTCTAAGCCTAAATTAGATTTAATTCCAAGACCATCCTCCTTGTGTGCTTCATGCAGAATTTTCCATGCCTTGTTAAGCCTTGTTGTTGTCCATTGCTGCTGCCAAAAAATAGCCCTGCTCCAATAGTCCAAAACCTGCTGCAAACTGCTCCAAACATTACCGATAAAGGTTAAATTTTTCCTGCATCAAGAAAGCATAAGTCAATTGACATAAACTAGAATTCAACTGACATTTGGCTCCAATTTTCCCTCTGATTCTATCATACATTCACTATAAAAACAGAAGCAAATGGTGAAGAGCTGATAGCAGATTGTCACATAATTCCTGCAATAGCATTAGGAGAAAAAGAAGGCAAAAACATCAAACAATATGTGTTAACAAATAAAAAACCAACCGCAACATTAGCTTTTCTAAACACAAGATTAGGAATCAAACCATCACCTATAGTAGCTGAATTTTCATCAAGAGGGCCTAATTTGCTTACCCTCGAAATTCTCAAACCCGACATAGTAGCACCCGGTGTGAACACTCTTGCTGCATGGAGTGGTGTTATAGCTCCATCAAGCTTACAAACACAAAAGAGTGAAATTCAACATCCTTTTCGGGACTTCTATGTCGTGCCCTCATGTAAGTGGAATCGCGGCGATGATCAAAGCTAAACATCCTAAATGGAGTCCTGCTGCTATAAAATCAGCAATTATGACAACAACTTATGTTCATGATAATACTATTAAACCTCTTATAGATGCATCTTCTTCCTCTGAGACACTTGCAGCAACAAATGCAACAGCAACAACTCCCTCAGCTTCAACAACAACAGCTTTCACAACTGCATCAACAGCAACAACATATCCACACCAACAGTACTGCATACGTGAGGAGTTAAAGAAGAAGAAATTTTTAGAAGGAATCGCAAGCAACATAACAAGGACGGAGCAGAAGGAGCTTATAAAGAGAAATAAATCGAAGAAGAACATACCAGGTGTTGTCAGCTTCCAACTTATACAAATTTGTATTAATGACAGAATCTACTAGAATTGAAGAAAAATTGCAAGTTGGAAGGGACCTACAATTGAACTCACGGTTTACACAGCAAGTTTACAATATCACGAGTTTCTCATCCAAATTTTCAGATTACACAAGCTCAAACTAACACAAATTGGATTAAACCTCTCAACTCATCAAGGGCTGCATATTCTTCTTACTAATTCACACGGATTCTGCTAATTTCATAATCCAAACAAATTCATCCAATTCAATCTACACTATCAATCCCAGTAACAACTTTATTGAATCTCCCAACATCTTCTTCTTCAGATTGAAACATGAGAAACTCGGCCGATAGATTAACTTCCTCACCACTTGGGTTCAAGTTCTTAATGACATTTGCAAACAATCTATTGTCAACCTTCGTGTAAGTTAACTGATCACTGAAGGTGTAACTCTTATCCCCATTTCGATCGATCAGTTGCTGAAACCTTCATTCAAACTTTGGCACAACGTTGGTGTTCCTTTGGAACTTAGCTTCTCATCTGCGACATTACTCAACACGCGCTCAAGGAAGTAGAAATCGCAACTAAGATAACCAAGATCGTGAAAAAGGATTTACCTGGAATTTTCTTCATATCCAAAGGCATTCAGATCGGTATTTTCTCTCCTCTCTCTCGCGCTTTTGAAATTTCTGATTTTTCTTTTCAATCTATGTTGTTGTTGTTCTTTATGAAAACTGTGAGAATTTGAATACGAAAAGCTGAGAAGCTATATTCTTTGTTGTTGCTTGCGAAATTGGATGAGAAATAGAGCAGAGTAGTGAACAGAGAAAGAGTTGACTATGAGAGAGGGAGAAAGCAGCGTGTTTTATAGGGAAGATTCAATAAACTTAATTAAATTCTTCCCCTTCCCAAAGTCATGAAATTTTGGCGCCTCTTTTTTCTCCAAACTAGGGTTCCAGAAAATTCTCCAATCCCTCTTGGTAACCTGGATCCGAGTTTGGGCCTAGCCCAACCCATTGCACAAGTTTTGTGTTTTATAGTTTTTGATTAAGGGAATATAATGAACGAACAGTTTGGTGTAGTGGAATGGGCTTCAACTCAATCAATTTTTCCTAAGCCCATTTGAAACTGCTAATACTCACCCTCCCAATTTTCGGTTTCACACCTCTTTCATAAGTAATTTAGTTTAAAGTTAGATTAGTAATCTTAAAATTAATTTAGTTTAGAGTTAAGTTAGTATTTTTATTATTAATATAGTTTAGATTAAATTAGAATTTTATAATTAACTTAGTTTACATTTAAATTAGTTTAGATATAATTTCGTAATTTTAGAACTTTAATAACTTTAGAATTTATATTTAGATTTAGTTTAGTAATTTTAGAATTTTATTTGATTTAGATTTAGTTTAGTAATTTTAGAATTTTATTTGATTTAGATTTAGCTTAGTAACTTTGGAAATTTATTTGATTTAGATTTAATTTAATAACTTTAGAATTTTAATTTAGTTTAGATCTAATTTAGTAATTTTAGAATTATTTTTATAACTTTAGAGTTTGTAATTAATTGAGAATTATTTTAGTAAGTAATCTTAGAATTTTAATTTAGATAATTAGTTCCATTCTCTTTTATTTGTGTTTAAATATCTTTGGCATTTTAATTTCTCGGGGTCTTTTGGTCCTTGTGAATTTTGGAATGTTTATATTTTGACGTCCATTTTATTTTGTTCGTCCGTCTAAATCCCAAGGAAAATGTTTTAACTTTGTTGACTTCATGTCATCAAATACATCTTATACGATTATGTGAATCCCTTCATTTATTTTTGTTTTATTATTTTTGATAATCTTAAGTTAATTTTCCTTAAAAACTCAACTTTAAAACTCACACCTTTTAAGTCAAAACTTTGACACTAGGTCGTCGTATCTTCCAAATCTCATTCACATCCATTTTGACCAAACAAACCATTTTAACCAAACAAACAATTTTTAACCAAAAAACAGATATTTCAAAAGGTTCCTGCGGAGTACCGCAGATGTATTGGGGGCTAATACATTCCCATTGTATAACCAACCTCCAAACTTTAGATCTCTTTCAAAAAATACATTGTATTTTCATTACTTTTAAGTATTATTTTACATTGCATATTAAAGGGTTTTATTTCCCTCTTTTCCTTTTTCCCTTGGAAATAATAAAGCGCAGTGGCGACTCTTGCTTTTGCGAGTCGAGTTAATTAATAGCTCGATCTCCAATTTACATCGCTACATTTTTTATCGCTACAGAATTGGCGACTCTGCTAGGGAGGGATTGATCTCTTGTTGGTCCATCCCTAAGTATGTTAAGCCTAATTTGTCATATCTGTTTTTATTATTATTTGTTTGTTTGTTTGATTATATGTTATATATTATGTTTATTTGGGTGTTGATGATACTTACAAAGGACAAGTCCTATACCTGAACTAAGTTACGCTTAAGAATAGGACAGGCGGTATAGTCATGTTAACTTTGAGGGAGTAATCCCAAAGAAGTAGACATGAAATGCCCCACTCAGTGGAAGCCCCTTTAACTATAGTATTTGTTTACCGAGTAATCAGGAAGATGTTACTGCTTTCGACCTGAGAGCCAGAGAAGCTGAGAGTCGTAGAACCCTTAACCCATCTTGGCCTCTTAGGTGTAGTGCGGAGACTATAACAGAGTAATCTGGAAGTAGTTGTCACGCGATACTGCACTCAGACGAGTTTCTCTTGAGAACATTGCTAATTACCGAGTAATTGAGACGTTGGTAATATCTGATGGAGGATTGTAGACTCTGGGAACCTTTAAGACCTTGTTTTATAGGTGTGATTAAACCTTTAGTACATACCTTGGGGGTGGTTTTTACCTTTGACTCCATGCTCGTGACGTTGAAACTTTAAACTTTGTTTGTGACCTTGCTTATGGTTATTGCATAGCCATGCCTTCATGCATCCATGAAACCCTTTTCACTTGATTTTCAAGGAATTTGGAAGTCTTTCTTTGTAAGCATCACAAGTTTCATCAAGCTCAATGGATCTTGGGTGTTGATGGGGTGAAAACCCTAATCCACCAAAATGGATGATTGATCTTGATGATAACTTGATCAATGTTTTGATCCAATTTAAAATTCATCTTCTATCTTCGTACTTTGATGTTTACAACTTAATATCTTGAGTTCCTTGAAAATCAAATAAAAACACTCTTTTGTATATCATACATCATTCTACATTTTTTTTGTTTCACTTTCAAAGGTCTTTTTCCAAGTCTAATTTTTCCATTGGCCTCACCAGTACAACACTCGCGCTAAGAGAACAATGGAGAATATCAAGCAAGAGGTTTCTGAACTCTGCAGATAGATAATTACTTTGAAAGCTAGTATGGAGCACTTAACTGGTTTGGTTCAAATTTTGGTTTCCGCCCAAATCAATCCTTCTAGGAAGGAAGAAGCGATGGCAAAGGTCTTCACTGAAACTATGAAATATTTCTTTCATGAGAAGATGATAATTAAGCACCTAGTGACTTTCTTGACAAAGTGAATGTAGGAGTGCGTCAAGAAGAAGATGTATGAAAGGGATGTTTATATAAATATGGTGGCTCAGCTAGTGGTGTGAAGAAGTTTGATAATAACTTTTTCAAGAGAGCCAGAGGAAGAAATAATCATCACCAGAATCACACTTGTGTTCAATTTACCTTCTGTAGCTCCAGTTCATCAACAGAATCAGCAAGTTCCTAATTAGAGGAAAACTCAATTTGATCCAATTCCAACGACCTATACAAAGTTGTTTCCTGTCCTGATGCCGAGGAATTTGGTTCAGACTCAACTTCCACCGAAGATTCCTGAGAAGATGTCGTGGTACTACAAAGCTGATTTAACTTGTGCCTTTCATCGGGGAGCCTCTGGGCATAGCATTGAATATTGTTATTCATTGAAAGATGAAGTCCAGAAGTTGGTCAGAAGTGGTATCTTGTCATTCAAGGACGTTGGTCTTGAAGTTCAAATCAAGTATTTTCCGAAGAGTAAACACAATTGATGGTTATTCTAAGTTTTGAAGGATGTTTTCAGCAGCTCAAGTCCAGATGGAGAGACTCTTCTCAGTTTATAATAACTTTTACTAATTTCCCTTATAATCTTTCATGTTTGTTAAAGTTTTGTTTGCATGTAAGAACTTGTTTACATTTGAATGATTATCTTAATACAATAAGTATGTTTTTTTTGAAGAAATTCACTCGTTTCACTCATATTTGTTTTCAAATTTTAAATTGCTTTTTACATTATGATACCAAATCTTTTGACCAAATTCTCGCTTAGGCAGAGATTGGAGGGAGGATGATGAATTTAAAATGAAAGATTTCTGGTTGTATGCTTTTGGATAAAACCCTGTTGACGATGTACAGGCATTGTTTCAAATTCCCAAACACCGGAGATATAAGAGAGTGAAACCTTTGTTAACCCCTTTGAGCCTTGAAGTAGGAGTTTCTTTTTGTTCAGAAAAAACCCTCATTTTAAACCCGAGGCAGGAAAGTGTTCAGTTAACCTAATTGAGTATTCAAATTTTATCAAGAGTGCGCATCTAAGGATACAACAATGGTTATCCTTCAAAAGGTTGAAGAAAGTCAAAATCGCAATGGTCAATCTTTGCCTATCATTAGTGTGCATCAAAACAAGACAATATCCCAATGGGTATCTCACGCACATCAAGTGGTCAACAAATAAGGATACAATAATGGCTATCCCTCATCTACCAATAAATCAGGCAGTCACACTCTTCCAATAAGTCACATACAACTCGAAGTCATATGACGTGTTCAAAAGGAGAGAAAAAACAAAATGAATAAAAAATAATTTAAAAAAAAGAAAGAGACAAAAAGCCCCTCTAAGTCAAAACTTGAAAAAACAAGTCGCTTAGGCAAAAGTCAGGGCATCCCGCTAGACTATCAATTCAAAAGAATTAGTTCAGACAAAAGTTAGGGAAAGCAATGAAGAAATGGAAAGCTTCAAAGGCAAGAAAGGATTACAACATAAAATCCTCAACAAAGAACATGGTTGTGTGACAAAAGTCAAGAATGAGTGACTATCGTGTCCAAAGAATATCAGTGGTTCCTCAACCATCAGCTAAATCCTCTCAGGAGATGAGTGCTCGTATCGAATTAACTGAATATAGGACTGAAGAACATCATGAAGGGGGTGGGCACCAAATATTTTGAGCCTTAAAATCTTTTTTCTAAAACCATGAACTAGGTTATGTTACAACCCTCAAAAGTTCTAATTGAAACAGAGTTTATTTCAAAAGCATACTCCAACGAGATGGTGTTTCCTGACTCCTATAAGTTTTGCTAAAATATTTGTGTTGGTATCATATGCTTTTGTTATCTTTCATACAAAAATAAATGATGCACTAATTTGCAAGCTTCACGGAATTTTTAAAAAAAAATTCAAGACTTACATAATTGTTGCATTAGAATTTTCATTATCAGAATAAACTTTTCCTACTTGTAAAACATTTGTTTAATGTCAAGGAAGCTTACATATAAGCACCAATGAAGATTTTAATCTTTTAAGGTCTAAAACTTTGTTAAGTAATTGGCGAATCATTTCTAAAAATGATCACAGCGAGGGGCATGTCGCCTGAAGACCT